GTAATGATAATTTGAATTGCTTCTTCTTTTCTTAGTCCAACTTGTAGTTAGCTGTCCAATTATAAATCCAAATGAACAAACTGGGATCACAGACAAGTAAGTTGTTTTTCCTTGTATTTCTTCAAGTGGAAGGTTATGTCATTGATTTCTAACTTTCCTTTTTAGTAATATCGGCTTAAATCTATTGTTTTCTCTGAACACTACTTTGAATTTATCCATAAATAGCCATTGGTTTTATTTACTTATTATGTACTTTAACTTTCTTTTGCACTCTCCTTAAAATTTGTTCCATGGTTTGTAGATTATTTCAAATTGCCTTAACTTCCAAATATTTGAAGATTTTTCTAGAGATTTTAGCTACTACGGATTTCAAATTATGATTTTATTTGTAGTTAAGGAGTATTCTAAATTATAAGACTTTTTATCACCCAGAATACAATTTTGGTGTTTTCTCCATAAGCATTTGAATAAAAATATGCATTTTTAGTTTGAATTAATGTTAATTGATCAGACAAGTTGATTGACAGTGTTGCCCAAAGTTTTTATTTCTACTGAATTGTGTCTTTTTTCTATCAAAAACATAAAAATTTCTGTCTTTGTGGATTTCTCAGTTTCTCTCTGTGCTTCATGCAGTCTAACATGGTGGGGTTTAGTATGTTTCAAAATCATTGTGTCTAATTGATACATTTATGCTTTTATTATAATAAAACATCTCCTTTTATCTGTGACAGTTATTTACGATATTGATACTAGAGGTTTTCTTCTTACGTTCTTTTTTAATGTTGACATAAAGTACATTTTACATTAATAGCGTTCAGCCCTGCCTTTTTAAAAATCTAATACCCAGGGACTGGAGAGATGGCTGAGCAGTCAAGAGCACCGGCTGCTCTTGTCGAGGACCAGGGTTCAGTTCCCAGCACCCACATGGTGGCTAACAACTATGTAACTCCCAGGAGACCTGAATGCCCTCTTCTGACCTCTGTCCACATTGCATGACCCAGATGCACTTACATACATGCAGAACAATACACTTACACACATAAAATAAAAACAAATAAATCAAAAAATTTTTAAAAATTGTAGTACTCAGCCAGGCATAATGTTGCATGCCTTTAGTCCCAGCACTCAGGAAGCAGGGGCAGGTGGATCTCTGCGAAATCAGAGATCTGCATAGTGAGTTCTAGATCAGCTAGGGCTACAATGAGACCATATCTCAAAAATAAAAATGAAAACTAAAAAATTCCAAAGCTTTATAACCTTCCTTTCATTGCACTTCTTATTTCACGTACACTTCTATGGCTATTCTGAAGGCTGGCTCTTAATCTGCCATAGTGCTTCTTTCTCTCTGAACCACGTTTGATGCCTTCCTAATTGTTCTCTCTGTATCTGCCATTACTTATTCATTTATAGCAGTTACTCTAGGGCAGTGATTTTTCAAACTTTTTGTCCTCGCTACTCTTTTAGACTCTTAAACGTTAATTAGTATTCCAAAGAGCTTTTACTTATGTAGATTGCATTCATCAGTATTTATCTTATTAGGAATTAAAATGAGGCATTTTTAAGACATAAGAGCACGTGAGCAGCATTAGTCTTCTAGGCATTGGGAAGATGTTTCCATGCTCACCTGCCTGTGGGACTTCACTGCCTGTAACGAGAGCCAGGATTGCTCCTTTTCCACAGATGCACACTAATGATCAAGGGAGTACCATGGAGTACCAATTAATCATTCATATGCCATGATGGAATGACTTCTAGATCCACAGAGATGACATGAAAGTTACTCTGGACGCAGTGTTTAAAGAAACGTTCTTTTGTGTGGCTGCTTCTTAGGGATGGAAACATTCCTTCTTGGAGGGGCAAGGAGGCTCTAGAAGCTCATGAAACTCAAAAGACCAACAAACCAGGAAGCTCAGCAAACTTCCAAGACTCACAAAGCCTCTCCCCAAAGCTATATATATAGCAAACAATTGCTTAGGGACAAGAAGACTCTGGTTGTACAGCTGCCTGAAATTTTTGTAGAGAACTCAGGGATGCAGTTTTGTGAGTAGTTACCCATGCCTCAATGCGACTTTTCAGTGATATGGCTACCTTTGAGTCACCATACTCCATAACCCCAATGAAGTCATTTGTTCTGTGATAGCTGATCTTGGTTATCAACTTGATTTGATCTGGAGTCAACTGAGGTGGGCCTGTAAAAGTGTTTCCTAGAAGGGTTAATTGAAGGGGGGAAGACACTCCCTCAGAGTGAGTGAGGCACACTTTCCAGCAGCAGCCAAAATTTAAGGAGGCCTGAAGGAAAAGCTGTTGAATTTTCCCTGCCTTCCTTCTCCCTGCTTCTGGTGACTGCTTCTACCCTGTTACTGCAGACACTGGAACCCAGCTTCTTTGGCTTTCCAATGTGGATTGAAGACATGGTTCTCCAAAAATCTTGTAGGCCTTCAGCCACAGATTGGGACTCTTAAGGCATCCGGCCTCATGGACTGAGAAGCTACCAGGTTCTCACTCCTCCAGCATGCAGACAGCCATTGTCAAATTAGGGGAGCTGCCAAGCTGGATACTAATGTGGGACTTCACCTCCAAGGGCACTGCTGGAGCATTTCAAAGAGGCACATCCACTATTATAAGTACATTAGCCAGTATTACAACAAGCACATCAGTCAGTATAACAATAAGTACATCAGCCTGAGCCAAGGGAGCCCTCCTGGCCTTAGCATGGTGCTGCCTTCCTATGCATTCTTCAGCTAATGCCTTTCTCACAAGGAACTCAAATGAGCTGTGAAGCTGGTGTTATCAAAAGGGGATCTGCAGGAAGGTGCAGCACTCCTGAACATGACTGTAGTTCCCATCCTGGCCAAATTTTTCCGTATCCTGAAAACCAATGTTCAGTAAAAGTAAAAACAAACACAAAGCAAGAAAAAAAAAACCCAAAAAACGAGAAAAGAAAAGGAGAAATCTTTTGACATACACATCGAGGCTTGAAAAGCAGTCACAAAAAGCAGTTCTCAAAATAACCCTGCGTAGCAGTGTGTAATTAGACTTGAGCAGAACAAATGACTGCTGTTATTTATTTATTTTTATCACTTCACAGAATTGCTTTGAAGCTTACATAGTTACCATATATGATAGAATAAACACTTCCAGGCAGTAAACAATCATTCACTACTATCATTACTGGCAAAGCTGGCCCTTTTATGATGCCTCACACAGGCTCACTGAGGAAAAAGGATTGACTCACAGCTCACAGTTAATAAATGCTAAAGATGAAGCTTGAAGGAAACGCTGATGATTTGAAACTCAGTCTTTTTTCAACACACTATTAGGCTAATTCCTCAGGGAAAACTTCCTCTGGTCTAACTTATTCCAAATTAGTACATGAAGAAGAAAATAAAAGATGAATTTCACTTAGTGAAAACAAACATGAAGTGACCATTCAAATCACAAGACTGAAAGTGCTCGGCATTGAGCTATTGTGCTTAACTTACAGATCCTAGTTCTTTTACCTCTCAGATTTGCAGTTTAAAATTACTCATAATCTGCATTTATAGGTGAGAGCACCTGGCCATAGATTTAAGTCAAATTTTCCATGTTGGAAATTATCGGTGAAATATAATCAATAACACAAATAGTTAAGAAAGCAGTTAGTGCTCCCATGTGGAGCTCAGTATTGGAAATGTCATTTGTAGTTCCCAAATGCTCTAGTGTATGTGTTTGTGTGTGTGTGTGTGTGGGGGGGGCGTGACAAGCTCCAATTTTTCTTTTAAATGAAGCTTGCACTTTCCTTAAAAGGTTTAATAGTCACACAAATCACTACATTTAGGTGAACACACACTTTTAAAGAATTACTTTTCAAAAGACTGACAAATTTTTCTTTCTTTTAAAGTGAACTTCATTGGTGAGACTAGAGAAGTACCAGTTAAACTTTGTAACAAGCTCCAGTTTTAAAGTGATTACAGTATAGAAAGAAAAGCTAATCAAGTCTAGATGTTCTGCAAAAAATCCTTCTAGAATATTTGCTGCTCAGTTGATCCAGACATACGTTGTTACCATATGAACTTCACTGGAGTTATTTATTAAAGTATCTGTAGTCATCCAGGTAAGTTTCTGAAATCTGGACCACAAACCCAAGTGAAGGACCATATACATTTAGATTTTGATATTGTCAGAATACAATAGAATGATTAGCTAAAATATATTAAACAGTTACATATCTAAAAGTAATAACAATTTTCTTAAACTTTTTTGGAATTATATTGTTGTTTTGTTCTTTATAGTGAAAACTATACATGGTAACTTTTGTTTTTTAAAGAACCGTAACTAGAAATTTAACGCACTTTGCTTTTATATTTCAGTGGCATTAAAAAGAGCTGTTTGCAGGATGCCTGCTGAAAATCACATGCTCTTCTGACAGTTGTAAGTAGGCAGAAATAAAGTGTTCCCTACTGCATTAAGAGCAGCAGTTTCTGTCTGATCAGGTCTTCAAAATAAGAGTCACCATGCTGACATGTTCTTATGTTAGTAGAGTTCACCTAGATTTATACAGCTTTCATGCTTTGTAAATTCCTTTCCTACTTTAAAAAAATAATCTTCAAAGTCACTTTTCTCTGAATATATGGGACTAAGTTTATTGTACTACTATGTCTTTTCAAAATGGACGTAAGGATTTACTAGATGAGTCCCACTTTAGGAAAAAAAGCTAGAGGATAGTTATTTTGAAGTTCTTTTACATGTGTTCTTCCAAGTTCATTCTTTCATGAATAATACCTAGATTTTTTTTTTTTAAAGCACGGTACCATGTAGCCCAGGCCTAACTCTGAACTAACTATGTAGCTAATGATGACCTTAAACCTCCAATCCTCCTACCTTAATCTCTCAAGTGCTGTGATATGTGCCACAACGCCTGGCTTAGACTCTTTGATTAGTATTCTGTCAAAGCATTGCCATAAGAGTTCTTTACACTTGTACTCATTTCAAAGTATATTTTAAAGGCATGATAAACTCACCTTAGAGAGGCCACCTACTTCCAAATAAAAGCAGATAATGAACACATTCCACGTGACCCAGAGGGCAGTCCACACTGTATACTAGATAGGAAAGGGTAGAGAGAAAGAGAAGAAAAAGTGGAGATGAGAAACATGTATATGAAATAAATCAACAATAAAAATGTCAATAAGTCCAAGTTATTTGTGAAGAAATATACAGGGTACAGTCAGAAAAGAGCTTTCTTTATGAGGCCCTATAAGACTGAGAAATTAAAAATCCAATAGTTACTACTGCTTTCAAAGAATGCTAATAAATCTAGATTTATTTTTAAAGTGCTTTTCTGGCTTGCATGCACAAGTTAAATCCAACATCTTAAGTGATTTCTGTTTTCTGAGTATTATCTTTTCAAGGGAACACACTTGTGCAAATTTTCTATGAGATAAATCTACCTGCTGATTGTCCATATATTAATAAATTATCTATTTATCTGTCCATCTGTCTCGCTAGTCTGTTTACCTGGTCTCTCTTTTCTATCATCTGTCTGTGTATCTAAATAAACAGATTTAGATAGATGTCCAATTTACAATTGTCCAATTTATAATTGTAAGTTGTCAAATTTTAGAAATACTAGTCAAAACCAGACCTTTCATATCTCTGAATAAAGACTATTTAAAAATGATTGTATGGAATAAAATAATCAAACTCTCATCTGTTGGGTTCTTTTACTGAGAGTGGAGCATGTGCCTTAATAGTCCTATAAAGCACAGCCACATACAGTAATGTTTAAATCATAGAAGTTACTAACTAGGATTAAGAATAAACAATTGAGGGGCTGGAGAGATAGCTCAGTGGTTAAGAACACTGTTCTTGCAGAAGACCTGGGTTCGAATCCCAGAACCCACATGGCAGCTAACAACTGTCTCTAATTCCATTTCCAGGGGATCCAACAGTCTCTTCTGTCCTCCATGGGCATTGCATGACACTGGTGTACTTACCTGCATGCAGGCAAATGCCCATATATATTAAATAAATAATAAATAAATCCTTTAAAAAGGAGTGGACTTTGTTTTAAAAATCTGCCAAATACATTGAAGCATAGTTTTCTGAACTACAAACTATTCCCAGAGATATTGAAAATAGCTTCTGTATTGTACCTGACAATATTTGCACCACAGAACTACAAAAAAAAATAGAGCTCTTGCTAATCAGATGGCATTTAGTGTGTTATAATATACATTCTAAATTAATTATAAGTGTCCTCAGAATAGGACACAGCAATGCAGACCACTAATCATGAGAAAAAATTCCTTGACAAGGATTAAAGAAAAGAGAACAAATGAAACAAGACTGTCAAATGTCAAACATGCTAAATAATTTTCAAGTCATATTATTTGTGTGTGTGTGTGTGTGTGTGTGTGTGTGTGTGTGTGTGTGTGTGTGTGTTTTCAGTAGTGGGGACTGAACCTCAGGCTTTGTGGGCTCCAGGAAAACTTTCTATCATGGACCCACATCTCCAGCAAAATTGAATAATTCTTTGTTTGTTTGTTTGTTTAAGACAGGGTCTCCCTGTAGCCCCAGCTGCCTTGGAAGTCACTATGTAGACCAGGCTGGCCTTCAACTCACAGAGATCCACCTGCTTCTGCCTCCCGAGTGCTGGGATCAAAGATGTGTGCCACCACTCCCGGCCCCAAATTGTATAATTCTTAATGAGTACACCTCAACCCTAAAACCCAAGTATTGAGAAAATCAGTCTGTCCACAGAATAGTAAAGACACAATTAAACCAATCCTTTATAAAAATCACAGCATAAACAGTGCTTGAAGTGAGCTAAGGACCTCCTGCAAGTTACATTATTGATGCAGTTTCTGATCTTTCACAGACAAAACCACTAGGCCAAGCTGATGGTAACTATCCACTCCTGCATATTTGACTGTAACAAAGGTTATTATTATGAAACATCTTGTGTTTCTAGTAATGCACTGGGCACTTTGAATGCGGTATACCACAAGTCAGCACATTAAAACTTGGGAAGATGGGGCAGCCTTTGATTCTACACTGAGTACTCGAGTTATCATGTGAAGTCTGACAGCCTGGCTCCAGAACTGGCATGGTTCATTTGGTAGGATTTATTGTAAAACATCTTAGGAAAAGGACTGTAACTGTAAATTGATCTTTCACTAAATTTGTCATTTTGTCAGATGACAAATTCACTCTATTACCATTTTACTAAAACTTATGTCATTCATATAAGTCCTGTAATGTAATATTTGAAAATAACAGATTTTTGTTTGGGTAATAGGAAGTTTCTTTTAAAATATCATTGGTTGAGAACAATGAGTGTATTATTGAATTTTTGACTGTGTGGGATATGAATAATATGCATCAATGTGCATTTGAGAGACGACCTGGGTCACAGACATGAAGAAGGACCTCTAGCAACACAAATGCATGTTCAGAACTTGACCTAGTCAAAATATTACATCATCACCTTAGAGACTGGGTAGCTACCCTGCCTTATTTTAGAAATTAATTATTTTTATTAATAACTCAGTTGAAATGATAATTATAGTGAGAGATGGTTCTCCACTTTTAACAAATATCATTGGTTATTATGAAGCTAGGCAACATGCTTGTATATCCATGCAGATCAGATGCAGTATAAATGACTTCTCCACATAAAACACTAACTTTCCTTAAACTCAGTGCACATATTTTGTCCTAATTCACATAGGTCAATAAATGCTCATGTGTTCATTTTGTTTCCTAAATACTTCCTAGTTTTATGGGAATTATCTTAGCATTTTGTAGTTGAAATGAACGTTAGGAGTTTTTGAGTCTGTTTTTGCCCCACTGAGTACTAATCTTTAACACGAATTTCTTTTATTTTCTAATCTTGAGTATTGTCTAATTATCATAAAGATCATTTGGCTATTCGTTTTTTTATGTGTATGAATCTACTACAATATTTGTTCACAATATGATATAGTAAAATATGGCAGATTCCTTGCTCGTTCATTGTTCTAGCATCTCCTGGAGTTTAGTATTCACATCTAGAACCTCCAGAGAAACCTGTCATCCATACATCTTAATTGTAAGGAATGCAGAGTGAAGGCAAAAATGAAATGAAAGGAATAGTAAGTCCTTTAACCATTTATCAAGACTTGCTCTATGTTAGGTTAGGACAAGTCACATGCACTATGACTACTAAAACCAATTTATGGATAATCATATTTTACAAATGAGGCAAATGCAGCCCTACAAAAGCAAATAGATGTCCTCAGGCTTTGCAGCCAATAATTGATGGGATAAAGTCATTTCATCCAAAAACTTTAAATTCAGTTACTGTTTGTTAGTTAAGTTTTATGCATCTTTGGTGTAGAATATAGCAGTGGATGGTCACAGTCTTGACTTCAAGAGCAAACACTGAATAACACAAAGTGAGAAACAGGAGGGAATAACAAGGTGAGGGGACAGGAGAAGCAACCAGTGTCTGTGGCAGTAGTGAGGACTAGGCGCTTCACCCTGAATAGGTGAATAGTAGAGTTGGCTTTTATGAAGTGACAACTTAGTGGAAGGATTAAGAATTTTCCAAGAGGATTAGAGAAGGGGGTCACTCTAGGTGGAAAGGTCAGGGTATGCCAATGGAGAGGCAAAACAACATGTGGTCTTCAGAAAGAACAGGTGGTCAACAAGGGAGTGGTCAGGGCAAGCAGAGAACAATTTTCTCAAGCTTGGATTTACACTCTAAAAGCTTTGGGAGTTTCCCTCTAGACCTGGAGAGCTGGTTTTGCATAGCTCTTTCTAAGCCATTTTTTTATAAGGATGATAAAACCTGCAATCTAAACACTACACTGCAACTGTTGTGATTGAAAGGAAGGAAGGACTGGATTTTGTCATGAGACATCTGATGAGGATCTGGCAGGGCAGGGTTCCCTGAAGAAGGGGCAGTCAGCTGAGATGAGATCTGTACTGTGAATCCACAGAGAAGAAGGAGTTGAAGGGACTTCTGGGCTAGAGTCATCACAAAACACCTAGACATTCAACAGCAGTAGCTGCCATTCATGTACTAAGGATTCCAGGAATACTACGTGGTAGAAGGGCTTGGTAACTAGAAAAAAATGCATATTAAAGTGTGCCAGCTTTCCAGGAGCTCCTGACCTAAAGAGACAGGTTGAGAGGTGCAAGTTCCAGGCTCTCTGGAGGTGGTAAATGACTGTGAAAGTGAAGTGAGAACAGCTGGGCAGAGACCTGAGGAAAGTGTGAGCCAGTTAAAGAGACTTGAAAGAGCCAGTGATTGGGCACCTTAGCTCCAGTGCCCTCTGCTCCTGCCTCTCAGGCCTGTCACACTTAGAGCACTGCCTGGTGTCTGTGTCCCAGCTCATTTCCTCAGTCTTAGCGCATACATCCTTCTATGCACGTTAATGATTAATTACTCTCTGCCCCTTTGCTTCCATGTCATGAGCATGATTGATAATCCGTTCACATGCAAATCTTCTTTACCAGACAGAGCCATTGTGAGTATGGAATGGAATGAATGCTCTGTACATATTTATGCACTGTCCCCCAAACTCATACTCTATGAGGTCACAGGGTCCCCTGGGATGCAATGGCATTACTGATCTCTTTGCTGGTTTTGCCTGTGCTTCCTTCTCTCTTTTCCTGCTCCTGGGTATAGGAAAAGGAATCCTTAGAACTTCCAGAATCGTTAAAGATAAACATCTACATGACAAATACTTTATATTTTTGCTTGTACGATTGTTCCTTTAATATGTAGCAATACATTATCTTTTCAAGACTTTCCCAGGAAAGGAGAAAGGACTGTTGGGAAAGCCCTCACATGCCAAATGGTTCATTTGACTTAATCTTTCCAAGAACCTTATGAGGTTTGCTTTTAGCATCCTTAATTTTACAGATGTGGAAGGAGAAGATTAAGCGACTTGACCAGGGAACCCAAGCAAGAGGCCATAAAACCAGATGTGCATTGATCTCTTTTCTCTTATTATTAGCTTCATGAAGTTACATTTTGCTTCTAATAGTAGATTTTGAACCTTCTGTGGCCATTGTTGGTATAAGTGTTGACCACAGAACTAGTCCTGCCCTGCTTCCCAGCCTCTCTCAGACTACCATTGCCCATTTGGGAATCTTCATCCCCACATGGATGAAAATCACCATTGATGGTTAGTTTGAATTGTCAACTTGACATAATCTCGATTCACCTGGGAAGAGAGTCTCAACAAAGGACTGTTCAGATTAGTTGGCCTGTGAGCATTCTTTTGAGGACTGTCGTATGTTACATGATGTGGGAAGACCCAGCCTAAAGGTCAGCAGTACAGTTCCCTATATTTGGGTCCTGGACTGTATAAAAAGGTTGGAAGTGAGCTGAGCACAAACATGTGAAGACTTAAACTGAGAGTTCTCTGCTCTCGATGAATGTAGTTACTTCAAATTCTTGCTGCCTTAACTTCCCGTCAGTGATGGACTGCAACCTGGAACTGTGAACTGAAATCAACCTTTTCTCCCCCAAGTTGCTTTTGTTGTATTATTTTGTCACAGCATCAGGAAACAATACTAAAACATTGCCTATTTGGGGGAAAAATGCCTAAAACATGAGTACTTGCAGGTGTTCACAAAGGTTTCTTTTCCTGGAGAGCACATTTTGCTGTTTAGGAAGGCTATTATTGTAACACTGTAACAATAACGTGCTTGTTTTGTGACATACTAGGCACTTGTCCCTAAGTGTTTTTTGTGAATACTTTTTTTTTTCCTGCAACTAGTGGCCTGAAATTAATTCTAGTATTAAAAAAAATGACTGGAAATGGATGTGACTCACGTGACGTATGAAAATATGGCTCAAGAGGCAACGACGGGTTTTCAGTTGCAGTGAGAGAAGGCCTGAGTCTAAAAGCTAAAGACATAGCTCTCCTCTCCACATTGTGAAGTGAACACAGAGGAAGGGCAAAGATGGGTCCTTATTTGGAGTTAGATATTACACACCTAACATGATGCCAAACTTGTAGTAGAAAGCAAATGAATGTGATTTGAATGAATAAATAAATGAACATGAAAGAATAACAGAAGTTAGGGGAGGAGGAGGAAGAAGGAAGGAAAAGGAAAGAAGTTAGAAGAAGGGGAAGAACAAGGGAAAGAAGGGAAGGGAAAAAGGAAGGGATTGTTGGACATACATTTGGTCAGGCCCATCATGAAAGAATATTCTTAGCTCTTATCCTCCAAAGGAGCCAATGAAAGGTTATCATTAACAATTTAGTAAAATGCAAAAAAAAAAAAAAGAAAAGAAAACAATGAAAAAGACAAAGGCTGGAAGCAAGCAGGAAAGTTTACGTGTCAAGAAAAATAACAGAAGCCTCATAAAAGGCAATAGTTGTAGAAAAAGTGCACAGGGTTAACATTTAGAGGATAAAAACACCAGGACCAGATAATGTCTCTAGCCAGCACATACAGCCTTATTCTGTGGAAGCCTTTGGTTTTGTAGCCCTCTGATATTTGAGTTTTAGTAGAATACCAATAGCATCAAATGCGGTCACCAGAGGCTATGATTATTTAAAAGTCAATAACAGCTTGATAGCAAGCCTGGTACTAAGGCTTCTAATGCTGTCAGTTCAACTCCAGGAAACACCTCTCCAGTAGATCATAGATTGGCTCAGAGGCTTTTCTTTTTGTTGTGAGCCTGAGCCTTTAACAGCTGCACCAGCTCTCCAGCCCTCAGAAGCTTTTCTTAAGAGAAAAGTGAAGCAGAAATGTTGAACCCTACAGCAAAGTGAAGGACATCAAACTCTTTCAGGGCATGTTGGGGACCTAACCTGTCAGTTGCCTTCATTTCCATGATATGGTGAAAGATGCTGCAGCGTAAATTCTGGTATAGTTTCAGAACAAAAGCAGACAATGGGTATATTTTTCAAATCAAGTTATAACTTCATCTTTTCAACAGGTTGAATTGAATAAAAATTGAAAATGGCCTATTTTAAGTCATATTTTTTCTAAAAACTTCTCTACGATGACGAGTACCTTAGAGGATGTTACACCTACTTGTGATTACTTACACTGTTACAACTTATTATTTCTCATAAACTTTTTATACAGGGAGCTAATATTCCTGCCTGTGAAAGACAACTAAATACTGTGAATGTCTTAGCTGCACTGTGAACCACCATCTGCCCTTCATTGAGTGATCTTCATTCAGTGGGCTGGCCATGCTTGGCATACATTAAAAGATGGATTTGTACTTTACATTTTTTGAAAAAGTAAGAAACATTTGGGTTTAATAAACAGGAAGAGATATATGATGAGACTATGCTAAATATCTTGACTTTCATGCATTCATAAAGACCTAAATTAATTAAAGTCATATTTTATTGCTTTCAGTGATCAAAGCATTTTGCTAGATTGGTTTGCTTTCTAGAGTTAGTGACAGTGTCACCGAAGGTTAATGATACCTTAGTGTCTTGAATGATTATGAATGAACACTGTATCTTATAGCATCAAGATCATAGCCAGACCTTTTACTCTATCCAAAATCTGTTTTAAATTTTCTTGTGAAATTTGAAATGAGTTGTACCAAGAGTCATACTGTCCTCTTAGACTTATGAGAATGGCTTTGCTTTCACTGTGAAGTATTCTTTGTGTTGTCTGTCCCATAGGTTAACATTTCTTACAGAACTGAGTATTTCAGAGTTAGAGCCCACTATCTTGTTATATTATAGGGCTAACAAATAATTTTATTCATCTTTTTATAGAAACTTTATAGTGTTTATATGAAGAGACACAACAATAATAAGACTTACCACCATGATGTAACGAGGTCTATACTGAATGGTTCCAAACAAACCCAATATGACAACTATTATATGCAGGAAATTTCCAAGAATGGGTGCCCACTGGAAGCCAAGAAAGTCGAAGATCTGCCTCTCCAAGGCTGAGAGCTGCAACAAAATGAAGAGCACTCATTAGCAGCAGACCTAAGCTCCATTATGCCATCTTAATCATTAATTCCCAGCTGGAGAAATCTGCATATTCAATTCCAACCATGCTTGTGGACACCATTATCTCTAGAAGTGTTTTTAGTAATGCTGGAGAGCAAACTCAGACATTCGTGTATGCTAGACAATCACACTAGCACTGGGCTGCATCACCACCCTTAATCACTACAGATTTTGCACCTACTGCATGAGCTTCTCTGTGCAGCCTCCCTCAGAAAATACTGTGAAATAACCTGGAATATCAAAGTAGAAATAGATTTGGTTTAAAGTATAAATCGATTTTAAAATAGACTTTAAAAAGATTTCATGATGTAAATACTCTTCTTAAATCATTTTCTACAGAAAAAAATCCATAGACTGTGCCTTAAATTTATCACTGTTTTCAGTCAAATGATTAGCATATCAAAACATGCTTAGAACAACAACCAATAACTTCCACTTTGCACCAGGAAAATAGTATCAAATTCAAACAAACTAAACCAAACTAAAACCCTTACCTTTCTATATAAAATATGCATAAACTATTGTGGTTTGGATATGAAGTATACCCAAAATGCTGATGTGTTGAAGGCTTTGTCCCCATACAATGGTGTTCAGAAGTGGGGCTGTTGGTTGGTGATAGGCCCTCACCTCATCAGTGGAATAATATACTTAAAGATTCATGACTTAATGAATTATTGAGAGGTGATGAAACTTTAGGGGGTGAGGTCTAGCTGGAGGAGCTATATTATTTTATATATTTGTTAACCATTGTCCTCGCTCTCTTTGCTTCCTGGCTGTCATGAAGTGAGAAGCTTTGCCCTACCATGTGCTCCCTACCACAGAGTTCTGCCTCATCACAGATGAGAAACAATGGAGCCAGTGGGTCATGGATTACAACTTTTGAAGCCTGAGCAAAATAAATATTTTTTTCCTTGAATTTGATTTTCTCAGGTATATTATCGCAGTGACAGAAAACTGACTAAAATATTAAACCAAATATACCTACTTTGTTTTATTTTCATTGGACTGCCAATAGCAATAGCAACTGAACATTCTCAATATGATCCCTACTTATTTAATTACTTTAGGCCTGATGTAAAACTGGAGTTCCACGGTCCTTTGAACTACATTTCACTGAAATCATACACTTACATTAAAACTCAGATTAGGCAAAATCCATTTTGAATAACCAAATAAAAATTATGGGGCCATAACAATTTTAGACATGCTGTAGGAAATTATATTTGCATTATATGCTGTTACATTTTAAAACAATTCTTCGACTAATCAAACTATGCACTTAAACCATTTATGATTAAACAGATGAATTTCAGAGAGTCCAGGGCACACCAACAATGTCATTACCATGTCCAAATGGTATTTCTTATATATTCTAAATCCAGAAATTTTATAATTCCACCTGCCGTGTTTGGACACTAAACTTACACAATAGAGGTCTTTTACTAGATTTCCTTTGATAAAATAGTAATTCTAATAAAATGATCCAACAATTAGCCATGCTGATGGCAGTAGAAACTGCGCTTTAAAATGGAAATGGCACCCTAGGTATTTTTCTAGTTATGCAGCAGGTGTATGCCTGAATAAATTTAATTTCCTTGGACATAAAGAAATGTTCTCCATCCAGTAAGCATAAGTTACCTTGGCTAAGATTTGTCTTCAGCACACTGCGGAGGAAAAGAGGGAAGAGAAAATGCCCAAGGACAATCATACCAGAGCCACATGCATGTCACGGAGGCTTCCTGACTATGAAGTGCTTTGTGACCATCTCCTGCATGCACCATGGCGTAGGGCACAGAGATGCCCAAATATAGAATAAACAGAGCAATGGAAGGCACTGCACCATGTTTTCAATCTCCTGTTTTTCTCTGCTTCTGACTCTAATTAGTTCCCAGGAACCTTCCCCTGAAGAATGCAGCGTTTTATTTATTGGCCCATCAGTGATATAAATATGCACTGTTTTTATGTCCAATAGGACGAATAAAAGCAGCCCTGAAGAGCAACCACAGGCAATTCATTCTGAAACAGCAACCCTATTTTAAAGCTGTCGTGTAGCACAGAAACCTTTACAGTGAACTTTTCAAACAGAGTAAAACTCGTTTCCTCTGCTGTCAGAAGATGCGTAGTTAGTATTCCCTTTTAAAATATGAAAAAAAACATAATGAAGGAAGCCAAATTAATGCCATTTATTAGAAATCTGTCACCTTTATTCAAGATGCTCTATCCTGATTAATATTTATTTCCTGAGTGCGTAAAATGGATTTTTAGATGAATTGAAATAAGAGCACAAGCAAAGGCCCATCAAAAAAAAAAGGCAGAGGCTGGGATGGTACCCTGTATTCCCACCATTTACTGTGTAGCGAGACCCTGTGTAGAAAAGCCACAGCAGAGAAGGAATGAATCTGAAGGACTGATGTTTAATAAAGATGGGGAAATCAAGAAAAGATAAAGGCAATAAGACCCGCCCCAGGAAAGCACAACAAACCACTCTCCAATATGAAATGGAAGAGGAATCACAGGCCTAAAAAAGCAATTGAATGGGTGCTGAGAGATGGCTCAGTGGTTAAGAGCATTGGCCGCTCTTGCAGAGGACCGGGGTACAGTTCCGAGCACCCACATGGTGGCTAGCAACCGTCTGTAACTCCAGTTCCAGGGGGTCTGTCTCCCTTTTTTGACTTCCATGGGCACTGCATGACATGGGTACACTTACACATATGCAGGCAATACACTCATACACATAAAATAGAAAATAATAAATAAAATATAAAAAAAATTTGAATGGCTTCTAAGTAAAAGCTAAGATAGGAAAAGGGGGGCTGGACAGAAAATATGAAAAGAGTATGCTGCTTTCTCCGATCAGTAAAAAAATAAAAGTAATCAGAATCTTCATAAAATACAGCAAGACGTAGTAGGTGTCTTACAGATCCATACATTACCATTAACCCTTCATTTGGTATCTTGGATATCAGATATGATAATTATTCCTAATTATGAAAATTAATTTACACTTAAAGAATTGTAAAAACTCCAAGAGACCAACATATTTATGGGTATTTTCCTAGGCTGGGTCTCTTTGTTGTTGGTTTTTTTTTTTTTTTTTTGGTCTTTTTGAGACAGGGTCTCCCTGTAGTCACAGCTGGTCTGGATTCACTATGGAGACCAGGTTGGCCTTGAACTCACAGAGATCCACCTGCCTTTGCTTCCCTCCTAAGTTCTGGGATTAAAGGTGTGTGCCACCATGCCCAGCTCCCTAGGCTGGGTCTTTACAATACACTCTTATCCAAACAAGAGCTGAGGAAGAAGACTTATTCTTTATAAGGAGTGCATTGGTGAATTGGCTTACGAAGAATGAGCTGCCTTTTGCACTCATTCCCCCTGGATATGAATGTCCTACTCCCTAGAGAGACATACAGTGAAAAGGAGGAAATAATGTGGCACTTGTACTTGCCTTAGTGTGGTAAGAAGTATTGGATCAATCTTAGCATCACAAAAGACTGAAATTAAATCACATTGTCAGACTGCTACCATCTTCTGGGTAACCTCTACCTTAAGAATTCATATTCTGTAATCATTAAGGATTAAATCTTCCATTAAAGAGAGGATTTAAATGCTGCAATTAACATTCTTATTAGTGAAATTGCTATACTCAGACTGCTTCAAAGAAACTATGGGTTATTGAGGCAGGTTTCTAGATGTCTGCAAAATCCATGTGACCCTCAATTTCACCAATATGTCTTTTGCTCTAAAGTCTTTATCAACTAACCAACCAAGGGACTTTTCATTCCTCACATGGATGGTATGCAATTTCTGTGCACATAAATATGGTGCATTCTAATAATTATGGTCACATATGATAAGCTATTATTTTGGAATTATTTAATGTCTATGAAATAAAATTATAACATTTGTATTAATCACTGCTTCCTAGTGACATATCACAAATATTCTAAGAACCTGAAACTTACCACTTCAATGAAATATGTGTCTATAGAAATGTAAACAAGCATTAGAATACCTGTAGACTCTGAGGTGGATCCAGTACTTTTATATTTGGTATCACTCAATAAAGACAGGCGTAACTATTGTGTTTTGATATGATTTTTGGTAGGGGTTACATGACAAAGGCTATGTCACTGAAGCCAGAAACCAGTGATTCACTAAAATGAGTAAAGTCACATAAAATTTAAAGCAGTTTAATATATAACCTGTGCATCATTGTTGGATTAAATTTTTATTACATTGTGTGTGTGTGTGTGTGTGTGTGTGTGTGTGTGTGCATGTATGTGTATCTGTGTGCCAGAGTATGAACAGAGGTCAGAGGACAACCCAAGAGAGTTGGCTCTCTTCTTCCACAGTATGGGTCTTGGGAATTGAACTCAGGATGTTAGGCTTGGCAGAATGTACCTTCCCTCACTAAGCCATCTTACCAGTCCTCATTACTGGATTTTTAGAACCATATCCTGTAACCCAAGTGGCCCTCAGTGATTAACAGGTATTTGGGGAGGAGAAACGATGCTCAGAAGGGTATGTTCCTTAATGTCGAGTGTAGCTGTCCAAGTTGTTCTTGAACTGGCTTCGGTAGGTGAAACACTTATCTCCAGGACACTTGAAAAGGCTTCTTAATTCTGTCTGTAGGCTCGAGTCTCTATATCTCAGGGAAATTGAATGGGAAGTCCCCACTCTTACAATTCAATAATGAAAGCATGCACTTCAAGTCTCAGAAAAAGCATATGTGTTTAAAGCCTATTTTCTTTTCTTTCTTTTTTTTTCTTTAATAAAGAAACAGGGATCATACAAGGTGACTTTTTGTGTTAAGTGAGAAATAGATATTATTCTGGAGGTAGGCAGATTTATGAAGGTTTATGGTCTGACAAGAAGCCTATGAAGGATATTTGTGTATAACAAACTTACTTATAAAATTTCCTTGTATATATTGTACACTG